TAAGGACATCCAAGCATGTTCTTTGTAATTTATCCCTCGCCCGTAAACGGCGATCTGCCACCTTCGCCCATGCAGGGGGGGGGTTGGTGCGACCCCCCCCTTGGCGTTTGAAAACGGAGCGTCGTAGAGCTTAGCGGAAAAGACCAACGGATTGCTCTCGCCGAGATCTCGCGATTGGTGGTATATTTTTTGGTCCTAGGTCAACATTTGACCTACTTTTGACCGGTCAAAGGTCAAATTTTCGGAAAAATAGATTTTTTTCAACTTTCCGCGGCGATTGCGGCAAAAACGGTGGGAGATATCGACTTGAAAACTTCACTATCGTGTTCCTTGATCAATTCTCTATCGTTTGGTATGTATTTCGTTTCCCTAGCTCTAAAAATGGCGCGTTGGGAGCGCCGGAAGTCGGCAAGGTCACAGTCGGCGGAAGAAATTCGAAAAATCAAAAATTAAATTTTTGAAATCTGATTGTATTTTTTGATTTGGGAGGTCTATTTGCTCCCTATAGAAGCTAATATTGCTGCATATTCTCATTGAGGTGACAAGAATTAGCAAAATAGTGGTTCGGGCGCTTTTCAAAAATAGTACCGGACGCTGTTCCTCTTGTGACGTCATAGCTCCGTGACCTGACCTGACCCGGTCAAGTTTCTTATACCATATGATAGCCAATACTTGCCCCAACATGCATGGGAAGTTTCATCACGATCCATCCACCGATGTCCGTACCACCGGCAGGAAACCTCGGGCGTTGGCACTCAGTTTGTGAAAATCCGGCTGGAGGCTGTTCCCTTTGTGACGTCATAACTCCGTGACCTGACATGACCCGGTCAAATTTTTTTTATCAAAAGATGCGCAAGGTTTGCCCCATAAGGTACCCAAAATTTGGCGGCGCTGCGCGCCGCCGTTTTTGCACTATTTCCGAAAAACCTCAGGGGGGGGGTTGCACCAACCCCCCCCCTACATGGGCGAGGGTTATAGGTAGTTATAATTGTTCTGCTCAACAACAATGTTTTGCTCCATAAAGACATTGTAAGTACGTGGAGGGTCGGAAGAGATTCGTCAGTGGTGTGCTGGTCCACCGGCATGAGCGGTTCAGTTTGCTTCAATTGCCTCCGTCTTCACCAGACCTAATTTATGCGCTGCCTCCGTCGTTTGAAACAATGAAGTTGCCCGAGCGGTCAGTTGCCCATGCCGCCATTTAAAACCACGGACACCATGCTCGACTGTTGCTGTGCTAGTCATGGGATGTAACTTTTATACACCGGCCAGTTGCATTCCAATGCGCTCCCTTCCCCACCACAACACCTTTACTTTCCAGCTCCCCGACGTCGGGCGAGGGCACCCCGCAGCTCCCCGGCACCCTCCCCCGCACCCCGGCGCACGCTCAGCCCCCCGCCGGGCACCCGTCAACACCCGCGCCGCCCAATTAATCGGTGACGGACCGGGCGAGCCGCTCTCGCTCTCAATGCGCCACTCTCGCCGCCTGTGCACCGCGATCGTCACGACCGTCGCCGCGCGCCACAATGGGTGACTGGAGAGTGTGCTGAGAGGGATGACGGAGGAGGCGGCGGCGTGCGCGGTCTGTGCGGCTCGTCAGGTATTTGTAACCCACCACCGCCTGGCTCAGCGGTTCAGACCAGAGGGTTACTGGGGAATTTGTGACTCAGGTGTGGGTGAATGTTCTTCTGAGGACTATCGGCGTCTCTATAGCTGATCCCCTTCTACAGTGTGTGTGTGAGGGGGGGGGGGGGATATCCAAAGGAGCAGTGGCAAGCGTAGCAAAAAGCCAGACGCTGGGCTATGACCTACGGGCCAAATTCAGGATGTCCCGCCTGATTAACCATGAACCATCCGGCCCTTCTTCACCGACGCCTTGGGTTCCCTTGCTTGTTACGAAGGTGAGCCGATCTGTGGGAAATTCTCGGGAAGTCTCCCCGGTAGCGGGTGTTGTGCCATGGGGCCGGTTTATTGTGAGCCGACCGACCCCACAGACTGTGCGACAACAGTGCAGGGACACGTCACAGGGACCCAGACACGCTGAATGGACCCGCGACATACAGTCTGTGAGTTATGTCGGACCGCACAAGATGAGGCTCGCGATAGGACTGTATAATCTGGATTTATATGGACGGTGGAGACCCTGGATTTCTGTTTTACAAGGAGTCCGACTATTTTACTGCGGAGTCGTGTCGAGCAGCTTCTCTTCCCGTCTGACGTGGGACTGCCACCGTGACTGAAGCAGGCTGGTGAGAGAGAGACCGTGAATTGGATCAGCGTGCGTGAGGCGCAGCGTATGACAGTCGCCATGGATTGAATCGAAGTGGATTGCATCCAAGGTAGTAATAAATAGATCACTACGGATGGTGAGACGATGAAATATGATAAATCAGGGGACGAACGTCAGCAAATGTTGTCTCCCAGCTCTCCTCAAGACGGGGATGTCCAGGGGCAACGTTGTGAAAAGGTATCGGGCTAAATGCTTGAAGAAGGGAGGCCCAAATCGGGGAGGGGGAGGGGAGGCCCGCAGCGGGTGGTCCCCTGGACAAGGGTCACTGGGCCAGCCTGCCCGAACAAAAGGGCCACCTGATCTGAGAGTAGCTCACTAGCCCCCTCCCCTCCCCTCAACACCGACAGTCTGGAGGTTCTCAATGGGCGGGCTGGAACAACCATGCAGCCGCTGCACTCCTCCGACTGACGTCACCACGGAGAGCGCGTAACTGACGTCAGACGGACGGCATAGTGGAAATTTGATGCAATATTATGCGAAAGGCATAAGAAACGCATTTGCAACGCTTTCCCGATGTTTTAGCTGGCAATAAATTGATCGTTTCCCACGGTGCCTATAGCTGCTGTACTCCCGACATGCTCGACTGTTCGTCAGTAATTGTAATACTGATAAGCGGAAATAAAACAACAGTAGTCGTCCACTCACTTCACTGAGCAGAAAAGGATCGAAAACACCACGTCTACGAGAGAATTCCATTTGATGCGTTCTCATAACGGGACTCTTTGAATCCACGGTGGTCGGCACGGGACGATCAGTATTCATTTCCTGCGTGCTGCAGGAGCCGGAGCGGCTGTCCTGGCTGTCCGTCACTGTTGAATTGGGTCAGTTGGCCGAGCTGGGCGCCGCCGCAGCTCTCCCGGGCCGGAGACCGGCCGCTCAGAGCTCTGACGAGCTGTCACAGCTCGCAGCAGCTCCCTGTGTGGAGACCGACTCAGCAGATGTCACACTGCCCCGAGACAGCGGTGAAGGAGCCGGGCGCCGGCTAAACCGCCGCTACCGACACCATTAGCATGATAATGGAAATGGAAATGCTGTTTTTTTTACGAACGTTTGCTGTGGACGGCGAGAGGTGATGGGTTGCGGTCGGTGTGTGTCCGGTCGGTCCGCTGTCATGGGGGATAAAGGTGAACTGTTTAGGTACCGAGGCCTCTGTCGGTCCTCGGTGGACAAGCCCTGCACTTTTCCAGCCGAAGCTCGGTAGTCCTGCGAGACAGGATCAGCGAAATATGCCTCGAGCTGTGAGCCGTGACGACACAGAACAGCTCTACTCCGCTGCACACGCACACACGCTTACGCACTCTATTTGATCGGACAAATGGCGCCGCAGGTGTATTTACCCACTCTACAGCCGGCCGGGGCAGGGGACCTACGTGTGAGGACCAGGAGTGGGGAGTTTGAGTGGAAGGGGAGATGAAGGCAGGGGACTGCTGAAGCTAATCATTCACCCGTTACGTGGACGGCGACTGTGACCGGCCGGGTGCAGATCACTCTGATCCCTGATCGCATATATACCGGTCGAAGAACCCATCTTGGTGGCGGCGTATAAGAGCGTTTACTGCTGGAAGAGAGTGCGTAGGCGCAGCCGAGAATGGCGATCAGCAGTTGGCGCCCACGCTCAAGTTAACGCTCTGCGATCGGCAGTTTTAACAGAGGACTTGGAACAACACTTACCGCTTCAATTGAAGTCAGTAAATAACCAGATACTATCGCAAATTGGGAGCTGACTTCCGCAGCTTTCTGCCGCGCAGATTGATGATCCCGATAGAGTAAACGCCTCCCAGACGACCGTGTGGGGACAATGGCGGCCTGTCGGCCCAGTCAATGACGCCGCGCGATTACAGCGGGCACGCACCGGGGCGGCGGCGGGGGCGGCGGCGGCGCGGCGGTGCGGTTTCAATCGGTGCCGCCCGCCGCCCAGATAGGCCGGCATTTCGGCAATCCGCCGCCCCGATACCGCCGCCCCGCTGAAAGGAAAATGAAAATGGACTCGACTACCGGGCATACAAACACCCGAGTTAGCGGCCGCTGGCCGTCCGGCTGTCTGCAGGCGCCGCTCCCAATCGGACCAGAGCCGCCTCAGCACGCCCCGCCCGAATCGCGCGACATTTGGCCAGAATGTGTTTGTTTGGGGTGTGAGGAAATCGCGCGCTCGAAATATCCAAGACAGCGGCTGTGCGGAATCACAACTAGCTGCTTCTCGCTAAACGGATGGCTGTGGCTATTGCGTCGCCTCAGGCTGGGCATTATCATATTTTCTGAAGTGGTTGCAGCCCACGAGCTCGACTGCGCTCGCTGAACTGTGCTATTGTTGGTCCAATTCGTCTGCTCTTCAGTGCGCTTAAGAAAGCATGTGCGCTTTTAAAACCTTAAGCAAAAACAGCTATTTATTTTAACCAAAAGTACAAGAAAAGTACAACCGTTTCTTTCTCTTCCATATACCTACATCCAAATTTTAGGCCAGTGAAGACACAGCCATTCTTCACTTTGCGTCTGAATATTTAAACATTAATTGCTGCCCGGCGCTTCTCTGGGAGATGGGATTTAATTAGCCCCGGCGCTTGACGTCAGCTCTACTTTACCATCTACAGCTGCGAATTAGACCAACAAAGCCGTGCTAACTAGGTTACTGTCACGTTTTAACTGAACAGGCGAACCTGCCGCCGCTCGCCTCTGGACCGTGGAGAGCGTTACGTCAACTCGTCTCCTGTTTCAGCGATGGGACGTCGCCGTCGTGTGTACGCCGGTCTGCTGACCAGCCTGCTCGCAGCTGCCCTGCTACGACAAACAGAGGGTGAGTCCGCCACCTGCCCGCCACTGTGCGGCCCGCCCCCACAGCAAACTCGGACATCCTTTCAGCCATGGGGCGAAGTGCGAGCGCCATTTCAGTTTGGTGTCAAATGACCTTCGAGATATTACGTGTTTTGCACTTTGAGGCTGGTGTGGCCCCAGGCGAGTTAAGGTGCATTTCGCAGAAGTATAATGGTATCTTTAATCGTGATCAAACTTACCTGCTCCCGCGCCCCGCTGGGGGTCCTGGATTTCCACGCCCTGCTGGGGGGGGGGGTGTTTGAACACCCCCCTTGTAACTCGGCTCCTGGGCCACGTAGCGATACGCGGAAGGTGGCGTTCGAAAGAGCGTCAAAAATAATGACGAAATCACTTCAGTCAATTTTTTGGTCAGGTCAAAGGTCAGGTCACCAGAGGTCATTGAAGGCAAAATTTCGCCGATTTCCAGGTCGAATGTCGAAAATTTCCAAGAAGCTAACGCATAACTCGGGAACCAATAGAGCTACAGCGCCGCGGAAAAGTGCATTCGATAGCCCTATTAATGCCCTTTCTCAGTAATTCTCTCAGATTTGACCTAACGTCAACGGTTTTGCCTGCAGGGGGCAAAAACTGCAAAAATAGCCGATTTTTTCGGAAACAGTTTTTCTGCAATAACTTTTGACCCAAGCCTTGTACGAGCTTACTTTTACCGGCATCGTGTTCCTCTCGTCAAGACGCATCGAATGAACTATAACTTGACCTTGAAAGGTCAACTTGAAGTTTTGACCTCAGGTCAAGGTCATGACCTGACCGGAAAGGGTCATGTTGTATATCATTCGATCCGTATCGTCGAGCTGAACACATATAAGGCGTTTTCATCGCTCTAGCATGCCTCTATCAAAAGTTATTTGCGAAAAACTGTTAGATACCATTCGTGACCTAAGATGACCTCAGGGCACAAACAAGGGTCACGGACACCATTTTCATGTTCAGTGTGTCTAAAACACTTGTAATTCGGTGTTTGGGAGTGTTTATAATGTCTTTCGTCCAAAAGAGGCGCATTTCAATTTTCTCCCATTGACTTATAGGGGAGGTCGCAAAATTGACCTGACCTTAGGTCATCGATATCAAAATTCTGAGATATAAATTTTGTACATGCTATTGCTCTTAGCAATCGCTGAAAGTTTCAAAGCGATCGGTCACTCGGTGTAGCTATGACAGACATTGAAACTTTTTATGAGGTGAGGTCACTTCAAGTGACCTGGTGACCTGACCTTGAATGACCTTGGTCTGAAATTTTCACAACATGTGTAGAATTGATGTATGATAAGGTGTACCAAAAACGGCGGCGCTCCGCGCCGCTGTTTTTTGAGATATTCGCGAAAAACCACAAGGGGGGGGTGTTCAAACCCCCCAGCAGGGCGCGGGTTAATATGCGGGTCATCCCTCCTGCTCTGTGGCGAGTTCAACGTCCCAGCGTGGGAGAGTACGAGGACGCACCGGTCAGATTCAATGACGTCACAGATGACTAGCGCAGAGCAGCTTAGGGTAGCAAGGCTGCACCATTACGTGATAAGATTGACTGCGGAACAAAGTCGCTAATGGATAACGGTAGCGTTTGAGTTCGGGATTGATAGATGCTGAAAGGGATGGGAATGGCTTCCTGAATTGGCTTGGTTTGCGTTCAATGAGCTGGAAATGAGGTGAAATTTGAATGCATACCTATGCTGCATTAGAACATAGGTCTAGAACATATGTCTCTAAGACCATAGGTTTACTTTAGTAGCAATAATGACTTTTTTACAACATATTCAGTTTATGTTTGGTGATATATCCAATTCCAGAACGACAAATAATCATTTTCCAATGAGAATCTATAATGGCAATAACCATTCTTTGCTTGGCGTAGAAAAGTGACTAACTGTTTGCTCAAGAGTTGTCTTTTTGCCTAGCGACGCAAAAAAAAAATCCATGACCAGGGGATTTGTACTTGTTTGGGATGGAGTTTCAATTTCTTCTACGGCAGCACTAAATTTTGTTCTGAGTCTGTTACAGATGAGAGGACAACCCGACCACAGGAGTGGATTCCAGTCTGCTATGTCGGAGGTTGTAGCAACTCCGACATAGCAGGTTGTAGCAACTCCTCTTCGGTGTGCTAATCTGTGACTAAGGCGAACGTTGCATCAACGTCTAAGAGCGCGCGCTGAAGCTCTTACCAGAACGAATTGGAAACCAGCGAATCGAATGGTAAAGCTAATACCCACTAATCACGCCGCTTCTGGCCCGGTGCGACTGACAGGCCGATCAAAACCTCTGCCGGCGAGATTTGGGCCGTCACACGACTGGCTCGTGTCCAGCACATCCTGCACAGGTCCCGGCCAGAGTGAAAGGCGGCGCTCCGTCTGCACCGCAGAGAGCTCGTCACTCATCGAGAATCATTTTTAAAAGCATGAAACAGGAAATGTTTCGCCATACAAATTCGTGCTTAATGACGTCTTCCACTTCGTTAGGCTATTAATTAGGTAAATAGCGCTGCTTTTTCAACGTCATTGGAGCATACCACGTGCTGCTCGGGCGGGGTCGGAGCCGGGCTGATCGGTCACTCTGGGCTCTGCTCTGCGAACCCTGGGAACCCGCGCCGCCCGGCGATTGCTGACCCGGGGATGAAAGCGGACTGGATGCGTGCGTGACGAGACTTATCTGCAGGCATTTAGCGGCGCAAGCCGACGCCCTCGATAATCCACTGACAGCGCCGATAGGCGTTTCGCCGGCGATTCTGACCGGCCGTATCGACTGTGTCGGATTGGATCACGGGGCGATGAAGACCGAATAGTTAGGAAGTTATATGTGAAATGGTGGGCTAAGCGCAAGAGCGAGCTGGCCATGGCTACGTTCCAAACATTCCTTTGTGGGCTTGGCCATGGACGCTAGCATTAGATAGGCCGCGAAGTGAGCGATAAGTTAGTGCTTTGGTTTGTATGAGGGAGCTACTGTGTGCGTTCGATACAGATAATGAATATTCGTCATCAATTTCATTTGGAAATCAATAATAAACTATGATAAGCTAGTTCTCCCATAACAGCAAGATATATCATATAACTGTACCTAAATCCTGTTCTCACTCCCGATTCTAAAACGTAGGCATGCGATGTTCCCTGATGAGATGTTACGTTCCATTCGAATTTCGATGGTCTTCCTGCTTCAAAGTCCACGACGTGATCTCCCGTCACTGACCCCTGAGACACTGACGCTGACGCTGACCCGTGCTGACGACAGGCTGCTCGGAGCCGCTGGGTCTGATGACGGGCGAGGTCGAGGACTGGCAGGTGGCCGCCAGCAGTACACTCACCTCCGACCCCAAGTGCAACACCAAGTACGCCCGGCTGCACGGGCCCAACGGCAAGGCCTGGTGCGCCGGCTACAAGAGGGAGGCCGAGTGGCTGCTCATCGACCTGGGCGTCGAGGCCACGGTGGGTGACCAGCGGGGATTCACTTAAACATGCTGGCGATGTCACCCTTTTCCTGGGGTTTGTTATAGTTTGATTTAAAAAGAAATGTTGCTGCTATTTTGCGGTGGAAAAATGCTGTCAACATTCAATTATCCCTGTTTAGTCTGCAGTTTGGAAACTTCACCCAGCAAATCGTAACATAAATATAGATGAGCTGAGCTTTGTTTTTGTTCCAATCCAAACTTGACGAATGAGTTTCACCCTACATTGCCATCGATATCGTTTACATTTCTGGCTCGTTAGACTGACATTGATGACAGCCGAGAGATTCTATCCACAAGCAAACTATCTATTCGAATAGCATTATTGATGACAAAAGAACCAAGTGCAGCATATAGGGAATATCAGAGGGTATCAGCGTTCTGAGTAAATAAAACACACTGCTGCTCTGGAAAGGTGCATTAATTACCTTTGCTTTCCGAGACCATGCCAGTCATAGCGTGACATTCTTCAGTGACCACTGCACGTGTGGCACACCTTGCAGCGGCAGACATCCTCTCTGTCCTAACGAACTTACCCACGGAACGTGTGTGACATTGACTGATCCTCTGCCACCAGATATCCAGTGTGATGATCCAGGGCCGGGGGGACGGCAGACAATGGGTCACCAAGTTCGTCATCTCCTACAGTGACGACGCCTACACCTGGAAATTCACCAACGACATCTACGGAAAGAAAAAGGTGCTGAAATGAATTTTATCGAGTGCTGCTTTTAACTTTACGGTTATGTAATGCTGGTGATTTATAGTCTTGCTTGAGGTTGTCAGAGGGAAGAGACCTGCGCTGGAATGTTGTATGATTACAATGTTTCAATTATTTGATGTTAAGATACAAGTGGGTTTATTAGAAAAAAAGAAGTTGATGGTCCATTTATCAACCGTTTCAGCTTTGCCTTATGCTCGCCAAAAACTGCTGCATTTCAGACATTCACTGGCAACACGGACTCTCACTCCCTGCGTCATCTGTACCTGGATGAGCCAATCACAGCTCGGTTCGTTCGGATCCATGTGATGGAGTGGCACGGACACCCCAGCCTGAGGATCGAACTCATTGGATGCCAGGGTAGGTAACTATGTCTTAGGTTAGGTTAGGTTACTGTTTTACAATTCAGCAGGGTTTCATGCATAAAACTGTTATTGGGCTAAGTGGATATATGTATGCATTGATTATTTCACTATTTTCACGTTTTCAGATGACTTTATTTACGTTCCATGTCTGTGTTTGATCATTATGTTTCAGAGTGTCGTCAGCTGATGCTAACCGCTGTTTCAGAGCGCCGTCAGCTGACGATTACCCTGTTTCAGAGTGCCGTCAGCTGATTATTCCCCGTTTCAGAGTGCCGTCAGCTGATTATTACCCCGTTTCAGAGTGTCGTCAGCTGATCAGCGTGCCCCCGCACGCCAAAGTGACGGCCTCCAGCTCTCCGCGGTGGAGAAGGAAGCGCTCCTGTCAGCCCGAGGACGGGGTCATCTTCAGCAGCTCGGCCTGGTGCTCCAGGCACAAAAACAGTGAGCGATCTTTGACACCCTTTGCAAAGTGCCATTAACTCATAATTTTCCTTTTTTCTGTGTTTTTGTTTTCCGGCTGCTTGATTTGCAATCCAGCATGAGTAGTTAGTGTCTGATATAGGACTTTGTATAATGGACTTTTGAAGAAAAAATCGTCTTGCTCGTTATGAATATCGATGACTGTTCTAACTTCTAATATTGACTTATTTCAGGGAACCAATGGCTGCAGTTTGACTTTGGCCCTCCGAGAAAGGTGACCGGCATCCTGACCCTGGGCAGAGGAGACGGCAGACGCAAGCGCTTCGTCACACAGTACAGCCTGTCCTACAGCAACAACAGCGTCGTCTGGCATTTCTACAAAGACGACAACCACCTCGACCCCAAGGTCAGTCCATGACCGTATTCAGCTATCCAGCAAACCGATCATGATTAATCTACCAGCTCTGGTTAGCGGGAATGTCGTCCATGTTTTAGACGGGAGTGTCAGCATAGGACTGTCCTGCTGCCACCTGACCCGTGAGTCGGTGATCTGACCCTTCAGCCAACCTGTGGGTCGGTGTACTGTACCGTCCAACTGACCCGTGGGTCCGCGGCTGTACCGTCCAACTGACCTTAGGGTCGGTGTGCTGTAGCGTCCAACTGACCCGTGGGTCCGCGGCTGTACCGTTAAACTGACCTCTGGGTCTGTGTGCTGTACCGTCCAACTGACCCGTGGGTCCGCGGCTGTACCGTCCAACTGACCCGTGGGTCCGCGGCTGTACCGTCCAACTGACCCGTGGGTCCGCGGCTGTACCGTTCAACTGACCCGTGGGTCCGCGGCTGTACCGTCCAACTGACCTCTGGGTCTGTGTGCTGTACCGTCCAACTGACCCGTGTGCTGTCGTCGACAGGTGTTTGCCGGCAACATGGACACGGCGACGGAGCGTCGTCACTACCTGAACCAGCCGTTCGTGGCCAGCTACATCCGGCTGCACCCGGTCGACTGGAGGAAGCAGATCGCCATGCGGGCCGGCGTGCTGGGCTGTCCGAACCGCGGCCTCTGCGGGCCCGGATACATCCGCGTCAACGAGGGATCACCCTGCAGTGAGTACTGATTTTGGGGAATGAGTATGGCGTGGACGCAACTGTCCGGTGAGACAATAAATCATGGATGTACCTAGTTCTCGGACGCAAACCGAGCTGAAAGCAGGTATACTGTACTGCAATAGCGCATTGTATTGCGGTGCAGTATCAAATAACCGCTATACATAGGTGTCGATACAAATATAAACAAGTATCTAAATTACTTATCACATTTTGATAAACTATATAGACATCGACTTTAAAAGAAACATGATATCCTGCGGTGTTATATTTCAGTTTCACCATATCATAAAACAAACATAGTGTGCTGCATTCAATGCGGCTCCATACCTTTCATCTTTGTAGTTCAGTCGTTTCCGGGACCTAACGGACCTAACACGCAGAAAAGACTGTCATCATCACGCGACGTCCTTGCGTTCTGATGGCGACGCCGCTGCGTATTCGAAATGAATTCAGTATGACGTGATAAAACGCTGATTAGCTGCATGTTTATGCCCAGGTAGCCTGTGTTGATGTCATTCCGACCCTACTCATAGATGCATCGTCTTGTTCTGATTGTAGCCTGTCACTTCAATAATGTCAAACCGCACCTGAATCAGTGTGTCGGCCCCGATCAAGGCATTCCGAAGGGGACACACCCGCGCTATTTTCCATTTCAAAGGCCGAGAAACAGCTGATGCACTGTGCCCTTCCTATACATTTCGTCGAAGTATCAAATCGGTCTGTGTTCACGCAGTGGAGAACCTGGCGTACCAGCGTCCGACCTGGGTGAACGACAAGCGGCAGAGCTGGAAGGACTGGACGTACGGCAACTCCAAGCTGGCCGTGGACGGCGACGAGAGCCATCACCTCAACAAGTGCGCCATCCTGGACAACTATTACGTGGACAACCCCGTCTGGATGGTCGACCTCGGGCGCAGACGGGAAATCGAGGGAGTCGTACTGGCGCTCTGGGACGGCAAAGGCGAAGGTGAGCTGATGTTGTACGCGTTGAAAGTCATTAGAAACACTGACGATAGGTTCATAAACAAATGCTTTTAAATTGTGAATATTGTCATATGCAGGGTGCAATACAAACATCTTATTCAACACGTGATACCATAATTAATTTTAATGTGGAGCTTGGACACCGTAGCGTGATGCGAAAGTAACGCCCTCCTCGACTTCGCTCTCAGACCAGTCGACCCAGTACCGCGACTACGTTCTCAACCTGGACAAACTGAGCGTCTACGTCAGCAACAAGCAGCACGTCGTGAACGCCGAGGAGGCTAGCAGCACCAAGTGCGACTACGTCACCAGGGACAACAACGCCCTGTTTCGGCCACGCCTTCAGGTGCCCTGTCCGCAGCCACTGAGGGCGCGCTACGTCTACATCAAGGCGTACGGCGTGCCTAACCGGTGGCGTAAGCTGTTTACGGCGATCCTCTGTGAGGTGATGGTGTACTAACGCGGTGGATTTAGGATCCAGCAGAGGATGCTGGTCCGTAGACAGACACCTAGTCACCCTCCGGTAGGGAGGGATCGAAGGGAGCGGCACTTGTCCTCGTTCCTGTAGGGGCCGTTCGCTCATCATACCTCGTTCAGCATCTGTAGTAGTTATATGGTCCACCAATTGGTCACCCATTGGTGACCCATTGGTTACTGTGACGTCCACCCATTATGGGTGTCTATTTAATTGGCAGCTTTGAGCGGACATCCAGAACCGCTCGCCTGGTTGTGGGCGATAAAGTTGGAGTCAATTCAGCCCCAACGTGCGGCAACGAACCGGCTGGTGTTTCCTTGTGGCTCTCGTGTTGCTGTTGAACATTGACATGTACTGCTCGTAATATGATTTTGTCGCAGTGTATAGGATAAGGTACAAGTTCCATTTAATTACTAGCACTTTGCCGGCATAGCGAATCTCAGCTTGATGTAACTGTGGTATACTGCTCTTACGACTTCAATAGTGCTATGATAGAATAACTGTTACGTCTTCAATAGTGCTATGATAGAATATCATAGAAATGCTGAATATTGTTGTGAGCACTGTTTTAAGAGACATGGACATACTTAAAAATATAATAAAAAAGTAGCAGAGAGAGCGCGAGAGCGCGAGTAACCGAGTGAGAGCGAGTTGAAGAAGGCGTAAGCCGAAAGCTCCTCGAGATTATCTGGCCTTTTTACGATTTTCGATTTTAATGATGAGAGTACGGTTACTTTTATTGATTATATTTTTAAATTCTGAATATTGTGCAATTGCGTTCATAGGCTCTCTAATATAAGTCTATGGAACTCCCCCAGGCCTTTTCAAGGCGGAAAGCATTCAATTTTATGCAGACGTCCAAGCTGATATAAAATTAGGAGGCTGTTCTTAACCCGGCAGTTGCTGGGGTATTTCGCCACCCACCGTTTGCTGGGGGGGGGGGGGGGGCGTTAAACGCCCCCAGCCGATAACTCGAGAACCAATAGGCGCAGCGAAACGCACGAGGCGGCAAACGAAAGAACGCGACGAGACGCTTCAGATGAGTACTTTAAAGTTGAATTTTGAGGTCACAGGTCGGGTCAAGGTCAGGTCAAACACCTGAAATCGGGCTTTCAGTAGCATGAACTTCAGGACTTCGCAATGGGCGCCTCTCGTCACAAACTCTGTCAAAACGGTGCAAAATCCATCATATAAGGCCTACAAGAGTATCAGCTCCATGAAGGGGTCAGTCAAGCATAGGTCAGGGTCAAGGTCAGGTCAACCGGGTAGGCACATATCCCCGAAAATCAAAACTGATATTCGCAGCCTGCGACACGTGTTTTATGGGTAATTTGGGGCGTAGAACACGATGGTAACATTCATTTTATCATATGTGTACGTGTTTTGCTCAAAAAGTTCAATTTAACAAATGCATGTATCATGGTCGTGAAGTAGTCACGAGAAATTGCCAAGATTCAGTTCAAGAATTTGGAAAATGTGGAACGATAATCAATAATCGAAGATAGCCATTTGATTGTTCATGGCATTGGCAGTCTAATGGCGTTTACGGCATGTCTGTATGTTTATTCTGTGATTTTATATGATTTTTTGAACATATACCGTTTTTGGTCGAAAATTCAGAAATCATGACGTCACTAAAACCTCGATATCTCAAAAAAATTTTCCGACTGATTTTTTTTTAAACTTTGTCACAATAACCTTCAATTAATTCCCTACAGGTACCCAAAATTTGGCGCGCCTGCGGCGCGCTGTTTTTATGCTATGGCCCGGCGAAAAAAGTGGGGGCGTTTAACGCCCCCCCCCCCAGCAACTCGCGGGTTAAAAAACGACTGATGTATAAAAACATAAGACGTTTTAAGTCGCCAATCTAACTGAGCTGTCCACTAGCTGACCAGTTGCCGATGCTACCCCATCTAACGGGTCACACGTGGGACCACGTCACCGAGAGCTGATGGATCGCGCCGCAGAAACAATGAGCTATTGACCCGGCCCGCCCGGGCGAGGAAACAGCCGGGGGCAGCACATGGAGAGACACAGCAGCCTCGGGAACCAGACATCCCCGGCTAACAGTGTTCACTGAGTGTCAGACAGCTGCATAATTAAACTAGCTAGCTAGTTAGTTCTTAGCACTTAACGACTTTATGGGGATAAGCACTAAGATTGACATTGACATGTGCCTGCAAAGTGCAAACATATGCATTTTTACTTAATTCAAGAAGCCTAATGAGCACGGAGTTTTATAGCATATATCGCCTTTTCTTTATGCTTGAAAAGTTTGACTGACTCATGGGACAATAAAAGTGTGCATAAGTAGACTCCCAACACTGGCATAGCCGTCACACATTTTTCCCGGCCGCCCTTCGGGTCAGAGCGCAGGTTACACGCCAATGTGCTTCATTTCTCCAAAGCAACTGCAGTATCGTACAGATTACATCTTGTAATGAGTGTTTTGTTTTATACAAGTGGCTTTTAACGGAAACTTGATGGTTATTTTTGGTTTTACGTAAACATGCACTGTGTGTAGTCAGATATTCACTGCAGACAAAATTTAAGGCTGAGAATGCGTACGCTCGGTCCTGATAAAACGACATGTGTTCCACTTTTGCAGGAAGAACGGTATTGGGCTCTGAAACTAGCGCAACCAGCAGCTGATTTTCCTGTTTTTCTTTGAAAAGAGGCTTTAAAGGAAATAGTTCACTTTTTAACATGGGTTTTGAACTGGAATAGCAGTTCCGTAGCTTGGGCTGAGACGAGCATAAATCAGGAGCTTTTACAGCCCAACGATCACCCTAGGCAAAGATATTCTATTTCTCGTCCCGAAAAAGGTGTCTTGCGTTGAGGATGTGTGCCTTGCATATATTTCCATCCAGTATGAAAAGAGCATGGGTCCCGAAAATTCTTCAGAAACTAGAGAAATTATCTACGAGAACTCTAGAGAAATTCTCGTACTGATCAATTAGGACATTCAGGGGAACATTATCAGATCGAGCAGATCGCCCAAATGCCGGTGGCTGCGATAATTTCTCTGTTTCTGAAGAATTTTCGGGACCCATGCTCTTTTCATACTGGATCGCGTGTGCCTTACAGAAACTGAAAAGTTCTTCCTATATCAAAATATAGAAAAAAATCTTTTGTTATAAAAAGGTTTTATTTTCTTTGCTGATTATTTTGAACATAAAAAATCATAAATCGTTGCAAAAAAATAATTTCGTGAAAGTGAACTATTTCCTTTAATGAGACTTGATGGCTCGTTTCACTAGTGTTTTTAGATTACATACTTAAACGTTTATTCAATAACGGGCAGGTTGTGAAAGTCTACATGGTATTGGTACGTTTTCACGACGGCCATCTGGTACACATTTGGTGCACATCTGGTGCAGATCAGGTGCAGATTTGGTCAAATTAGGTTCAGGGTATCTCTTAGTAGCTATCAGCTAGGGTAACACTAATTGCTTACATGCCTGCTTTGTCGTATTATCAGAGAGCATCATCGATTAAAACACTGAAATAGACTCAAAAAATAAAAATATTTGCTGTAAAAGAGATTAGGTGCAGATTTGGTCAAATTAGGTGCACTCGCCGGATCGCCAGTCGTGAAAACGGCTAATATGACTGGAATATTTTAGCGTGTGGGACGTAGAAGGTAGAGGTTTTGTCAGATGATCTTGTTCGTTTCTGTTGGACATAGCGTCAGTAAGCATCAGAAGAGGAAGCAGCAATAGTAATCCATCACGCCTAGTAACACGACGCAGCTTCTGTTCAGTGATTTCAACGCATCACAAGGGGCGAGCCTTTTTGCCGGCGGGCATTAGGCTGGTTTTTCACTGTGTCGTCCTAACTCCTAAGCCCGCCGACACAGGAAGTGTCACATACGATTTAATGTGGATGCGTGTTTGTCCTTCACATTGTATTCATGCATCTACTGAATTACACTTGTCATCAACCATTTTCCCTAAAACTACCTCTGAAGGCGATGAGACAGGACAGCTCTTGATTTATAGACAGTTACCTCGACTTGCCTGTTGTCAACTCTTGCCTTCGTAGATACAGCCCGGGAGACTCTGACGACCTTGTCAGGCAATGCCGGTGTCCATCCATCCGTGAAGTAGCAATAATCACCCTCCCCCGATCAGCTACCCGTGCGGATGACTCGTCACCTTTTCCCGCAGCAGCCGCCGGCGGAGCGGGCGCCCGGCGCGCGTCAATGACTGGCTCATCCCTCACTCTCTGCACGAGCGACGGGCTTATTTACCTTTTTTATCTGTTGCATCAATTGAAGACAATTGGCATATTTATGGATGCAGAATAGAGCAGATGTTTTAGTGTAGTGATATTTTTTAGCCCGTTGCTTGTGACTGATGCAAAATATCGCATCATTTAATACTTTGCTTTACATAAGCTGATTTATCAAACATAATAGAATTTCCGATTGCATTCGATATTTAGAGTGCCTTAACCCGCGCCCCGTAGGGCTACCGGCGGACCCTACCACCCGTAGGGGGGGGGGGGGCCGTTTCGGCCCCCCCCCCTAAGATCTCGGAAAGTTACCGGCCGATTTTCAAAATTCAAACGGCGTTCGATAGCCCCACCCGGGAACTACCTTGTGACCAAATTTCATTGACCTAGGTCAAACCGATGACGTCACAGGTCAGGTCAAAGGTCAGATTTTCACCGTTCACAGGCATTTCAAGAAATGTGTTGTGAAATCGAGTTAATTGGTAATTTATTGAAAACCATCGATGGTACATTGTTCGTCAAACAAATACCTTGCTATCTGAGGTCACTGATACCAGGTCAGGTCACAGCGAGGTCAGGTCACCGGGGTCACAATATGAAAGTGTCGTGTGATACATGTTTTATGGTCCATTTTACATTACAAATGCGATTATGTGGGTTAGGCAGCCTTTGGGGCCAGCCTAGGTCACGTTTTGGTGAAGGTCAGGTCAAGGTCAGGTCAAATAAGGTCAAATTTCAAAGTTGATATTTTTGCATAAAATGGGTATCGATTCGATGCAGCTCGTCACGGGGAGTCTAATGGTGGTCTTTGTTTTGCTCTACGAGGTCTAGAACTGCCAAAAATTGAGTTTGAAAATTTGACGTCATCAATTTTGAACAGTTTTTTCGCTATAACTTGGCCAAAAAACGAGGTATCGATCTGAAATTTGGTATGTAGATAGAAGACGGTAGGTACTATCACATATATTCCGGTTTTTTTGAAACTCAAAAAACTTTTTGGATTTTTTGGCTAATATATCCAAAAAAAAATGTTTTTTTGATTTTTGGGGTTCAAAACTCAAAAATTTCAAAAATCCGAGATAGCAGTTTTGTAGCCCTGTCAATTCTACACCTTTTATGTCTTGATCATTTTTCTGTATCTTCAAAGCTGTAGGCCTGACAGGTCTTCTCGCGAAGGTCTTTTTTCGGTCGAAAATGACAGAACATGACGTCATTCTGACGTCATTTGTGGCCAACCTATCATAGCCTCTGGAAAAAAATTTTTGACCACAATGTGTAAAATTGATGCCCGGAGGGGTCCTGAAAGTTTGGTGGCGATATCTGAAGCGGTTTAGGAGATATCGACCGAAAAGGACAGGGGGGGCCGTTTCGGCCCCCCCCCCCTACGGGGCGCGGGTTAAAGTTACAGGAAGAAGACTGTCTTAACCCTCGCATGTGTGCGGGGATCCCCCTTGCCGTTTGGCCCCTGATCGAGCTAGAGCTTCGCGGAAAAAACGAGCGTGTTGCCCGTGACGAGAG